CTCAACCAGCCTGTGTGACAAAAGTACAAAACTTTCTTTGTTAAGTGGCTGATTATACACTTACCAGTCAGCCCAGTGTCTTGTCCCAATTAATCACATTACTCCCTAGAAAAGTTTATGTTTTAAATTTCACTCATAATAAAAGACTAAAAAGGATAAAAACTAAAGAAAAATTGCCAAGTCCATTTCTCGTCCTCAAAAAAAAAAAAAGAATATTAAGAATGTTGTGTGACATAACAGTAAATTTGTGATTAACTGTACATTTTTCATTGCAGATGACTGTGTAAAGGACAAATATGGGGGTACTACTTTATACACATGTTTCCTATTGTTGAATAGTTTACTACAAATAAAAATCCAGCTGAATACATTGGTGCTAAAATAAACTTAAAAATAAAGCTTATCTAACAACATGAAATAAGTTCAAATTTTGAGACTTGCTATAAACCACAATTCAGGAATCTTAGCCAAAAGTTTATCTGAAGTTAGTTACATCAAAACTCCCATATTTGCCCAGCTGGTGTGGCTCAGTGATTGAGCATCAACCCATGAACCAAGAGGGCGTAGGTTTGCTTCCCAGTCAGGGCACATGCCAGGGTTGAGCGCTCGGTCCCCAGTAGGGGGCATGCAGGAGGCAGCAGACAGATGTTTCTCTCTAAACAATGTTTCTGTCTCCCTACCTGCCTGCCTTCCTCTCTCTCTCTAAAATCAATAAAAACATACTTTAAAAAAAAAAAACCTCCCATACTGAACTAAAGATATAGACTTGCACATAAATTAAGATGGACCAAAATATACATGCTGTTCCAGTTAACAAGTACATTTGAGAGTATAAAATGCTCCTGCAAGACATGACACTTAACAAAGAAATGTTTTATCCAGTCTGTAAAAACTAAACTGAAAATAGTTACATCAAAATATAATTTTCCCCAGCTGGTGTTGCTCAGTGGTTGAGCATCAACCCATGAACCAGGTCACAGTTTGATTCTCGGTCAGGGCACATGTGGGTTTTAGGACTCAATCCTCAGTAGGGGGCGTGCAGGAGGCATTTGATAATGATTCTCTCTCATCATTGATGTCTCTATCCCCCCCTCACTCTTCCTTTCTCTCCCTGAAATCAATAAAAACATTTTTTAATTAAAAATATAACTTTTAAACCAGCAATAATTGGTAATCAGGTAAAAAAAAAAAAAAAGCAGCTCAGGAGGAACAACTTACAGAATACTAGGCACCCATATCACAGCATTAAAAAAAAAAGTTCCACCCTAGAAGAGAAAAACTATTACGGCTAGATAACAAACGCTAAGCTGGCGGAATTAGCACAAGATGGAAAAAACTAAACAGTACCCAACCAATCCTTTTAAAATTATTATTTTGATTTTGAATTTTAATCTTTTCTCTTTCTTGGTCATTTCAATGTTACATGTTTTGCCCACGCTCTATAGAAGACTACCGTGTGCTTGTCCAGCATTGGTGCAAGACATTTTGAGTCTCAATTGTGTTATTGTTCTTTATCAGGCCAACTGAAGATACAGTTTTAGCCCAACAGAACCAGAGTTGGGCAGGCTGAATTTTTCAAGCCATCTGCTGTACCCTCCAAAGAGAGATACTGAATCCAGTGTTCACTTCAGTGGGGAGCATGAGTAGCTCCATGACTCAGAAGTACAAAGTGCCCAAATCCAGAGTGGAGTCACACTTAAGGAAAGGAGAGATGTGGGTTTGAATTGTGGATCTGGCTCTTACTGTGTGATCCAGAGGAAGTACCCAAGCCCTCTAAGTCTCAGTGTGCCCACCTGCAAAAGGGAGCAATGATATCTATTGTACAGTGTTATTATAAATAAATGAGGATAACATATATAAAGTACATGCCATGGTTTTACACCTTGACAAAAATGTATAATCAAATATTATATTCTCTCTATTTTTAAAAAATAAAGATATATGATTTTGGGATAGATTCATTAGATCTCAACATGCATCTGTTGAAAGAAGGTAGAATAGAAAGGTGAGAGGGAATGGCCACGTACCTATTCCCACAATTTAAGGTCCCCAGACTCAAAAGGAAAACACACGTGTAGCTGCACCCTTGGACATACTGCTCAATTCAATTCAACTCAATGTTAGAAGATGCAAAAGAAAAAAAGACTAGACATTCTTCCCACCTTCATTGATTCACAACCTAAAAGAGGTTCACATCAAGTTATGGGCAATGTTGAAATCCAGAAAGTTCTTAAAGTAAATTTTTTAAACTGTTTCAATATATAAATTTGGTGGCCAAATCAGTCCTAAACTTGAACTGGCTAGAGAGGCTCAATAGCCATTACCCTTGTATTGAATGTAAAGATTTACATATTGCAAGTCTTGTTATGCGGTGAGGTCCCAAATCCCACTGATGATGTGACATAATAAGTGGCGTAATGCAGTAGCTTTGGAGAATATTAAGTATTCCAAGTTCCAAAACACACATAGCCCAAGGATTTCATACAAGGGAATCTGAACAATCTTTACTTAAGGAATAAAAGGGCGAGTAACATTATGAAGAGGTAAACTGCTTACGGTGGAAACCTGGATTGAAGAATGTATTTTCTATCCCTCTTAAGTTAGAATTGGCTTAGAAACCTTGGATATTGTGTAATATGGAAACAATAACACTACTTACATCACTGAGTTCCTAGAGAAGCAAGAAATGATCCATACAAGATGCTACAAACAATGCCTGGCACAAAGTAAATACCAATAAATACCGTGCAAAGAAAGTGCCTAGAAAAATACTTTGAACATTTACTAGGAAAAGGCAAACAGGTGAATACAGAGTTCTGATAGTTATCCGGCTCTATACCATATCATATTTTGGAATTTTATTTTTAAAAATCTAAGAGTTTTCTTTTTCCTCTGCCCAGAGGTATTTCTACCATCAGGCCTCAGAGGTGGTAGTATTAGTGCACGTCCTGGAGGCAGGTGGCAATCTCAGCGGAGCGAACAGGCATTTGGAGCTGATGGAACGTACTAGGATGCCAAGCTCTTAATGCACAGATATATTATTTGGAAAGAAATGAACAATGAAGAGCAACCTAGAGGAATGTTTCCTAAATTTAATGTACAAACTAATCAGCCAGAGTTTTTGTTAAAATGCAGATTCTAACTTAATGTGATGGGGCCAGAATTCTGCATTCAAGTTCTCAGGGAGTCAGAAGGCTACTGACCCACACGGGGAGTAGGAAGGCCCCAGAGCAGTGGTCCTCACTGGGACTTGGCAACATCAGAATCTCTTGGGAGTTATTAGAAAAGCAAACCCTGGGGCATAAGGAAATGCTGGGAGATTGTTGATCTAAATCGGCTGTTTACATCCAGGCAGACTTTTCCTGGGAATAAAAGTAGAATACTTTTTAAATACATTAAAAATAAAAGGAGTCTAGGAGACTATGTCACCTAAATAAGAAAACGGACTTCTCTCTGCAAGCAATTACCAAAACTATAGGCCCTGCAATTACACTTAAAAGGTAGGCTTTGGCATGCTAAGAAGCCTTCTCTGAGAATATAGAGGCAGAAGTGTATAGAACCACTTACCAACTAGTCATAAAATAGATCATTTCCATTTCACCTAGTTAACAGAGATAGGGCTTTGTAAAGAAACCAAACTGAGTTTTATATTTCCTTGTGTTGAGAATGTAACCCAACCACATCATGGTTTAGCCAACTTCTCCAAAGTAATGTTTACACATCCCCTGGCTCATATGTAAATATATGTCAACAGTTTGATTTATAGCTATAGGTGATCTGTTTATATACACAGATACACAGACACAAATTACAGTACATTAATGGTTTGAAACACAATATTCCTAAAGGACAAAAAACCTGGAGGGTAAACTATAAATAAAGAATGTCATGACCAGAAAAAAGATTTCAGTTTTTTGATTGTTAAATAGGTGGTTTTCCCAACACTTTATAATAGACTGATGCATTCAGAATTCAGATTTCGTTTTCTTTTTCAACTTCCAAGTTTGAATGTACAAGTTGACCTTTCAAACAAGTTTACAAGTTCACCTCTCAGAAACTGAGCACACAGTTCTGTCCTCAATCTATTTTTAAAGAAACCAGTTACTGACCTTGAAAGGCACTGCACTTGCTTCAGGGCTGGGTGCGGACCCTCTTGATTTCTGCCAGGACCATGCCTTTCACACAGTGCTGTTCCCACCATAGGAGGGAGGGAGGGAGGAGTGTTTCTGTATGTGGTGAGCTGGGGCCAGGCTTGCTGCTCAACACCCAGTGCAGGAAACAGTGCCCTCAACAAAGAATTACCCAACCTCAAATGCCAACAATGCCAAGGCCAGGAAACCTTGCTTTAAGCAATTGCTGTTCTGTATAGGCATCATTATTATATCCCAAGCACAGTGTGAAGCACGGGGATAAATATTTGTTGATTATTAAATAAATTACCTCTGTGTAGCTGGGGCCTTAGAGTCATAGAGATGAAAAAGAACGAGAAAGGGGTTATTATACATGGAATGTCTCAAACTACCAAACAAAATTAGTCATTGTCAGAACCAGAAAAAAATTTAAAAAGTCAGTCAGTCCAATCTCTGTGTTTTGGGAATAATATTTTCATATGAAAGATGCTTTCTAATATACTGATATTATAGTGATGGGGAATCAGTCCTCTTAACAGTAAAAGTAAAATATAAAATCTTTATAAATTTACTAAAATATCGGTTTCTACTTTGAATAGTGCCAATGTCCCATACTTTCTTCAAATTAATAAAGCATTTCCTCTATAAAAAGTAAGACCAATATGACATAAATCACACATAATAAGTGATATTTCACAAGCGGGAAACAAAGCAACATGTAATTATTTTTCAAAAAAGCAAATCACAGACTTCCATGGCCTACGGGCATTTATACTTCTGAGAATTGTGAGATCTAAAATGTCATGAGAAATTCTGAACTGGCTTACATTTCTGAAACACAGGAACTGAGAGTCACAAGGCCAAACATACCCTTAATAATCGATTCAGCTGCATACAAATCTCGTTTGTAGGTCACCTAAAGGACAGATAAACCTCATTAGACTTAACAGAGCAGGAAGGAATGTGAGAGCAATAAAATTATGCCCCCAAGGAAATTCTTGATTTTAGAGAAACTATAAACACATAATACTGACAATTTCTAAATTACATCAACATCAGCAAATTCTGAATAATGTATTCTATTTCTACAAATGGTTAAAGATTTGTTTATTGAATTCTTATTAATGTAACAGAATTTTATCAAAGAATATGTGGTAGTATTTATATTAAAGTATTAGAATTATTGTTTAATAGTGAGGTTTTTACTTAGGAAGGAAGAAAAGGTAAGTATAACAAAAATCACCAAATCACATTTTTAGTTGAAATGAGGAAATTCTCAAAGGTCAATTCACATTAAGAAGGGAGTTTCTTCTGAATTGAGGATGTCTGTATGTACCCACAAGGTTCACCTTATGAGGATTTTATGGCTCTGATAAAAAGAGCAGAGAAGGCACCACCATGTGCATGAGAATAATCACAATCTTTCCTTAAAAACACGCAGCCTCCTTGCAATTGTAACAGGCTCTTTGTAATGTAACCTGACATGGTCCTATGGCAGATCATCCCAGGCCACATCAGTGAGCTCAGATATAGAACATGTCAGGTGTACTGCATCACAGAATAGTTCTCCTATACCATAGCACTGAAAATGTAGTAAGTAGTGAACTAACTAATAAATACTATAAGGTCTTAGGAGCTCATCATTCAAGTGCCCAGATGATTAGAATGCAAATGGTCTAAAAACCCACTTTGAGAAGTATTCACCAAATTAGTACCTTTCTATGCCTACAATTGAAACTATTTTTCCCCTCCAAATTATCTCATAACTACACTAGTACAGAAACTTTGCTCAGCTCAAGTGGCCCAGGGCACTTCTACCCAAAATAGATTCCTGCGCTATGCCTCTATCCTGGCTGATAAATCCTAGCCCAAAACTACAATCCAGAATTAAAGTAGCAGTCAATTTGTAAGATAGATGAGAAGTTGCTCAAGCATTCAACTAATCCATTTAAATTAAATGTGACATTGCTACATTATCTCTAAATCAAGTACATGCCAACCAAAACTAGTACTATAGTTACTGATCTACTATCTGGAAAAAAATAGAAAACAGACATTTAAAAGTTCATGCTGTGCATTTTACCAAATTAAAGGATGTATTGATCTCATTCATTCATTTAACAAATACTTATCATATAACTACTGTGTTCTAGGTCCTATTCAAGGTCCTGTTCTAAGTGCAGGCAACAGAGGATTCAAAAGAATGGGCAAAACTCCTTCACTTGAGTGGATGATATTTTAGTGAAGAGATTTTTCTTATAAGAGACAGAGAATCATTGATCAAACTGTCAAACCTCAGAGGGAAGGTAGGGGAGGGTGGGGGTAAGGGGGAGAGATCAACCAAAGGACTTGTATGCATGCATATAAGCCTAATCAATGGACACAGACAACAGGGGGGTGAGGGCATGAGGGGGGAGTTGGGGGGGGGCAATGGGGGGCTAAGGACACATATGTAATACCTTAATCAATAAAGAAATTTTAAAAATAAGTAAGTAAATAAATAAAACTCCAAAAGAAAGTGTTAAATGTTTTTCTTTAGTTGTTTGAAAAATCAAAGTTAGCTAGGTATCTGAAATCAATATTCAATGTTTGCAATTTAAATGAGAAAATGCCTTTTTTCTACATTTGTCCACTGTGTAGGATAAACTTAGAAATTAATGGGAAGGTGGTTAATTACCTTAATTACCATTATTCATCTCTATCCCCTCCTGCTTTTGTTGAGGGATAAGACTGCATTCCAACTTAAAATAGAATTGTGAAAGTCCCTTTTTTTCCCCTCAAATAAATCTTACTGATGGTTTTAATTAAAAGAAAACTTGGTTTCAAATACTAAAATGCTTTTCTAGCATACTTCCAAGACAACATTTTTGCATTGGAGTCTGTTTTATGAATAAAATACATGTCTTTATTGCCCAAAGGTCCTCTCTCCACTATTATTAAATAACTAGAGGCCCGGTGCACAATAATTTGTGCACTCGGGGGGGGGAGGGGGGTTCCCTCAGCCCGGCCTGTGCCCTCTCTCAGTCTGGGACCCCTCGGGAGATAACGACCTGCTGGCTTAGGCCTGCTCCCAGGTGGCAGAGGGCAGGCCCAATCCCTAGGTGCAGCCCCTGGTCGGGCTCAGAGCAGGGCCGATTGGGGAATTGGGGCGCCGCCCCCTGTCATGCACAGAGCAGGGCAGATCGGGAGGTTGTGATGCCACCCCCAGTCATGCTCAGGGTAGGGCCGATTGGGGGGTTGGGGCACCGCCCCCTGTCACACTCAAGGAAGGGTCCATGGGGAGGTTGCGGCGCTGCCCCCTGTCACGCACAGAGCAGGGTCAATCAGGGGGTTGGGGAGCTCCCCCCTGTCATGCACAGAGCAGGGCCGATCAGGGGGTTGGGGCGCCGCCACTGTCACACTCAGGGCAGGGCCGATGGGGAGGTTATGGCTCTACCCCATCACACACAGAGCAGGGCCCGTGGGGTGGAGGGGTTGGGGTGCCGCCCTCTATCACCCACAGAGCAGGGCCGATCAGGGGGTTGGGGCGCCGCCACTCTCACACTCAGGGCAGGGCTGATGGGGAGGTTATGGCTCTACCCCGTCACACACAGAGCAGGGCCCATGGGGTGGGGGGGTTGGGGCGCCGCACCCTGTCACACACAGAGCTGCAGGGCGATCAGGAGGTTGGGGAGCTCCCCCCTATCAGGCACAGAGTAGGGCCGATCAGGGGGTTGGGGCGCCCTCCCCTGTCACGAACAGAGCAGGGCCGATAGGGAGGTTGTGGCGATCAGGGGGTTTGGGCCCTGCCCCCTGTCATGCTGATCCCCGTGCTGGGAGACCTTGCGGCTCTGCTGATCCCGGTGCTGGGAGGCATATTACCCTTTTACTATATAGAATAGAGGCCTGGTGCATGGTGGGGGCTGGCTGGTTTGCCCTGAAGGGTGTCCCGGATCAGGGTGGGGGTCCCCACTGGGGTGCCTGGCCAGCCTGGATGAGGGGATGATGGCTGTTTGCAGCTGGTCACACACCCTTCAGGGTGGGGGTCCCCACTGGGGTGCCTGGCCAGTCTGGGTGAGGGGCTGAGGGCTGTTTTCAGGCTGGGACTGAAGCTCCCAACTGCTCCTTTTTTTCTTTTTTTTTCTTTTTATTCTGAGCCAGCTTTAGCTCTGAGGCTCCAGCTCTTAGGCCTCCGCTCCTGAAAGCAGGTATCTGGTTTGTTTAGGTTCTACAATCGAAACTCTGTATCAACTTCAGGTCTGAGATCCCGGCTTGCTGAAAGCTGGTTTCTGGGGTTTTGTTTAGCTTCTATTTTTGTAACTATGTTTCAAACTGCCAGCTCAGAGGCCTGCAGCGGCAGGCAGGGAACGTTGGAGTCCTCCGTCACTGAAGCAAGCAAGCCTCATGTTAGTTTCAAGCTGCCTGGCTGCCGGCCGCCATCTTGGCTGACAGTTAATTTGCATATCTCGCTGATTAGCCAATGGGAAGGGTAGCAGTCGTACGCCAATTACCATGTTTCTCTTTTATTAGATAGGATTAACTGTGCAAACAAGAAAGAGTCCTAAATTTCCTTTTTTTGTCTACTTTTTTCTTATAGGCTGTGAATACCAACTATGTGCTGATTAAAGGTTTTGTATTTTATTAATATCTTCAACATAAAGCCTTATTGAATACCTCAGCAATACTTCTCAAACATTGTTGTAATAAAATAAATAACAAAATATTCCTGTTAAACTTGTTAAGTACCGAGTCTAAAACAGCCCCTTTTTCTAATATATATCGAAGGGAAAAGTACTGGGAAATGTAATTCTGAATTAATGACTCACTCCTTTTCTGTCAGACTCTTATAGTAATATAGGTTGTCCTTTCCTTATTTTTAATTTCAAAAACAGTTTAATGATCAGTTTTGAAATTGATTTCCTTCTGTCAGCATGACCTGCAGTTTTTCTTTGTCTTTACATGACACATTATGACAGTTACTTTTTAAAAAAATCAACCTTGTAGCGATGGGAGGGAGCCCTGGTCCTCTGATTTACTTGTTTTCACACAGGGCTTTAGAGCCTCAGGGCCACCTGCACCCCAGGGGAGGGGCTCTGGGCAGCTGAGAATCTGAGCCCCACACCTGCCACTCACCTAGGGAACCTAGGGAAGCTCAAGTTCTGTCTGTGTAGCTCGACTGTGCTTCATTGCAATATTTCATCTGGGTAAAGTGTTTAGGATATATATATACATATATATATACACACACACACACACGAAATATGCATACATATATACACATATGCATGTATACATGTGTATACATACATATATGTATTTTTTTCAATGGAAGAAAAACTTGAAACTGAGAGCCACAGACATAGTTTTCTTCCAACTACTAGGCCAGGGCTCTCTCAGCTACCTCCAGGTGAGCACCAAAAAAACGCAAACACTGTCACACCTACTTTGTGTTGTTCCATCTGCATTAACACTCAATATCGTAAATGAGACTTTTCAGGGCCAAGTCCAGTTGGCTATCATCTTACATGAGTTAAGTTATACTACATTGAATGTTCTCCCACCTTTCACTGCATAAGGAAATGAATATGTAACTCCAGTAATTAGAATCCAGAAAATCTTAAAATTTAAAGATATATGATGTTCACTAGACACAAACGTAGACTAGCGGATATTTATTATATTTATTGCTATTCCATCAATTACATCTATGTTGAAAATATTCTTTCCTCTAGACTGAACAGCTAGATGAAAACCTCCAAAAAAGGAATCATGCCACCACAGTGTCTTTTTGAGATTAAAAAAAAAAAGGCAAAAAGTGAGACTGTTTTGTTTCTTTGGGTCTTAACAAGGATGCTAGAACACTTGGCTCCTAAAAAAAAGTTCACATCAAAAGGAATCCTCAAGAGTCAGCCATTCCATTGAGTAATACTATGATGACTTAAACGCTTCAGAAACTCTTCCTAAAGAAGCCTTTTCAGACAACGGGACACAGCTGAATTTCTTAAATAACTGGTTATAAAACTCCTATAAATCTTTCAAGCCTTGAGGGTGGTTTTACATTTAGAAACAGGAGGTCTGTTCAATTAGATCTGTACAGTGTAGTCAGTGATCAAATATTTAATTATATTGGGACAAAAACACGGCACATCCATATATTAAAGAGGTAGAAGTCCTATAGGCGAGATGGAATTCCACTGAGTGCAAAATGTGTTCACTGAGCCTGACAAGGCACCAGCACTCAGAAAGCATGAGAGCTAACACCTATTCCTGGAGTCAGTCCTGTTCTCTTCTGTGGTTGGTCACTTTTTGGGGAGGGGGTGGCTCATTTATGGGGATGTCCTCCTCTCTGCAGGGTGATTTGAAAAAACTGATGTTTCCTCCATGCCCCAGGGTACCTGCTGCAAAAACACTGGCATCAACTCTGAATTTTACCTTTTACATTTATTTCTACCAAAAAAAATGTATGTAAAATACAGAAATAATAACCCTCCTGGGATTTCTGGTATCAAAGTAACAGTCCTAGTCATTCCCCACACCACTGAGAGGGTGAATACCCTGACTTCGGAGAGGTAGGGGAAGGTGTCCTGGCCCTGCTGTTTTCTGGTAGTGCCATGCCTCTTGAGATGTGTTTGTCACTGTGTCAGATTTCTGAATCATGCTCCAGGTACTTGGCACAGCCACCTGAGTCCAGTACTAATTTTAGCGTAATTATACTAAATCTTTTCTCAAATCTGAGTTTTAGCCAATGGTAGAATCACTGGAATTATTATAGAATTAGAACACTAATGTCAAAGCACATATTCCATTGTTTTGGTTTAAAAACAACTGAAATAACCTTTATCCATATGAAATGGTAATACCATAAAATTAATTAAATTAGAAGCCTATACTAAAGACATCTCATACAATGTCATCATAAGAGGCTAAATCGGGCTAAATAAACAGCTGGGAAATTATAAAAAAAGCTAGGGGCCCAGTGCACGAATTCATGCACCTTGAAAGGAACTGTGGGCCATGAGGCTTCAGTGGGCACAGGGGCGGGTCTCAGCCCATCCTCTGTGCCCCCACCCGACCCCTCCCACCGCGGCCCCCAGTCCCATCTGCCGGCAGTCCCACTCCTGCTGCCACAACTCCCACACGCTGATGGTGCCAGCCCCGCTCGCACCAGCTGATGGCGCAGAGCAATTGGGGCTGGTGTCAGCAGTGGGTGCAAGTGGGGCTGGAGCCGTCAGAGGGTGCGAGCAGCAGCTGCTGTCTCGATTGCCTCTCAGGAGCAGGGGGAGGTAGAGAAGCCCTCAGGGGCGATTGGGGACAGCAGCTGCCGCTCGCACCCACTGACGGCACCGAGCAATCGGAACTGGTGCCCAGTGTTAGCAGTGGGTGTGAGCAGCAGGGCCAGCACTGGCAGTGGGTGTGAGTAGTGGCTGCTGGCCCTGATCACCCCTCAGGAGCAGACCTGAGGGGTGACCGGGGCCGGCAGCTGCTGCTGGCACCTGCTGACGGCACTGAGTAATTGAGGCCGGCACCAGACACTGGCAGTCGGTGCAAGCGGCAGCTCCGGCGCCAGCAGCAAATGCAAGCAGGGCCAGTGCCGGCAGCAGGTGTGAGCACTGGGTGGGACTGCAGTGCAAGGGAGCAAAGAATTTTCAATAATCACCAGAGGCTGGCCGTGATGACAGCGACTGGCACCCCGCCTTGGACTGGTGCCCTTGCTCACCTGCTCCACTATCCCACCGTGGCCGATGCCTGCCATGTTCTGCGCATATCCCCTGGTGGTAAATGCATGTCATAGCGACTGGTTGTTCAGTTGTTCTGCTGTTCAGTTTATTTGCATATTAGGGTTTTATATATATAGATATAATGGTGGAAGATAATGAATGACAGGAGGCAGGAGAAGGAAACAGGGAACCAGAAACAACTGCAATATTTATACTCTAAGTAATGTCACCTCACTTAAGAAAAGAAATGTGATATCTATAAAAGGCCTCATAACTGTCATATGAAATACTTTTTTGCCCAATCCATTGCATAACATGCCTCATTAGAATTCAAGATCCTGTTAAAGCACATCATAATTTCAAAAAAATTGGCACTCCCACCCCAGGACTATTGTGGAAAGCAGAGTTCTATTCTCAAATCCAGTCGAGTGTAAGGAAATAGAGTAAAAGGACACACATAGAGAACAAGAAAAAAAAAAGTGAATTAAAGCAGTGTTACTGGCTAACTAGATTTTTAAAAATAAGTTGTGTCAAAGTAAATTTTCTTAAAACCAAACAATAGAAATGATACCATACTTTGATGGCTCAGAAAATCCAGTGAAACTATTTTAAATCCCTTAATGTAGGCATGCATACACACACACACACACACACACACACACACACACACACACACACACCCTTTTTCATCCAGAATGTGTTTCAGCATGAAACCAAGTATTTTTATACTACATCCCCGTTTTCTAAAGCACCTGTATAAGGTGTTTGTACTTGCAACATGTGTCTTCAGGAATGACATAAGCACAGACAATTCCCAGAACAAAGTACCAACTCCATTACCTTCCAGAGATCAGGTGATCCTTCCACAAGTTTGGCTTTGACATGACAGTATTTTAGAGCCAGTTGCAAACATTCAGTTCCAAATTCCAGGTCATAGTCGCTACACTGGGTAGGGGGAAAAAGAGTTAACAAGTTAAAATAAAATTTTAAGGAAAATTTAATCAATTATTGTATCATCAATTACATAGAAAAAAGGAAGAGCCTAGAGAATTTCCAAGCTCTTTGATTAGCTACTGATTATTCAAGTTATAGAATAATTCTCCTTATGCCCTAAAAGCCAGTAGAAAATAGGAATGTTTCAATTGTAAGAGTCTCAAACTTCCTCAGTCATTTCAGGTGTCAGAAAAACATAATATTTAATTTCTTTTGTTCACAAGCTATCTTTCCAAGCGTTTCTAAAATGCCTGAGGATTTCCATATCATAATGTGATTTAACAAATATATGTATTCATAAAACTCCAAATCCCCTACCTTATTTATATGTATATCAATTTATAGTTGTAGGTCATAGGTCTCTCATTCACCTTAATAGTTTAAATATCAATACATCCTTTTAAAATTATTTATATTTTTATTCTGAAACTGGACACGGTTTTACAAAGGTCTTTTATACATTTAGGAAAATATAAACAACAACATTTTAAAGCATATTAAGCAGAATCATTAAAATGACCAACATAATATAATTCAGCTGAATAATACTGAGTGCCTATTATATGCTTTGTATTAAGTGACACCATATAAATATAAAGGAGACATTTATTGTGTCCTCAAGGACTCAAGTCTAGAAGGGGAGACTGGTTTATAACAAACATTTTGCTACCGAATGTGACAGATGTAGCCCTAGAAGAGAATGTAGAAGTAGGTCAGAAGATAAAATGCTTAATGCTAAGTGAGGGCTTCAGGGAAGACCTAGCAGAGGAAAACCTCTATTTTGTACTTCCAGCATCTGCACAATCTCATCTATTAGTATGTGAGGGAGATGTATGTACAGTGACAGTGTTCTCTTTAACCTGTGGTTAAATCCCAAAGATGACTAGCAATGATGTTTTTCCTGACTCTTCCGAGAGGCAGGATACTGAGCACACCTGGGGACAGCCCTCAACACGCTCACAAAGTGAATACTGAGAGGAGCCCATAGCAACAGCTACTCCTGCCATCCCAGCTGGTGGGGTAAGCATATTACTTGACGCTGTGCCCTGCCAGCCATGTGATGCACTAGACAAGATGGCAACAGCCTATGAATTGCATAAAGTCTCCAGGATCACTGGGAATCATGAAAAATTATGGGTCAGGTATAAATATATACCAGAAATAGAGGCTAAGTATTTTGACAGGAAGACTAGTCTAAAATTTTCATTCATTGGATAGAACGATATTATAACTATTCATGGAGTTTTTAGTAATTTTTGACATTAAAACCTTGCTTTCACAATGAGTTCGAACAATGCCTGCTTCATGACAAGTTGCATTTGAACTTCTGTGTCACAAGAACATTGACGATGACTTCCACTTTTCTCTAGGATATGGGAAGTTGGAAAAAATGATGCTCATTTCTGAAGAAAAGAAACAGCAGGTAAACTATACAAGCACAACTTTTTCTTGAACCCAGAACTGAGGCCACAGATAATCACTAAACAGACATTTTTAAGTTAAGAATAAGAATTCAATAGTGATAAAATGAAATCATAAAAAATAAGATATTAATACAAAGGCAGAGAGGAAAAGCACAGATGGAACTAATAGAAAATACCCAGCAAGATGATATTTAACCAAGAAAGATAATGCATGTGTACTTGCACAAAATGTCAACATTTATTATCCAGCATGGGAGTCGTAGTGATATCACTTATCACATGAAACACACACACACACACACACACACACACACACACACACACACACACAGATGCTGAGAATTCCATGCCTCCCTAAACTTGGAGCCCAAGTTAGTGTGGAACAATGTTCTCCCCAGACAGAAGTCCTGAGGACACTCTTTTCAGAGGTCCCCAAATTCACAGTCCATCCCAGTCATGTTACAGTAAAGATCACAGTCAACAAGTTTCATCTTCAAACCCACCAACCAGTCTCCAGCACACAAACATGAGCAGAAAGCCCAGATTTAACTGAAACCCAAGGGAAAACTCAAACATAAAAGTTAAAAAGGCAAAAAGTAAAAATTTTTGGAGAAACAAGAAATTATGCAGTTAAAAAAAAAAACAACCCAGAATGAAAAAGGATATATACTCATAAAACAAGACAGGATAATATTTAAAAGGGTGGAAAACTGAAAAATAGGAGAGAAAAGAATAATTAATGATAAATACAAAGTCCAATATGTTTTTTATAAAAAAGAAGAAAGAAAGAAAACAGAAGGAAAGAACAGAAAAGGGTAGGACAAGGAAACAACCTAATAAATTTTTTAAACTGCAGTAATGAAGAACATGAGTCTCCAAATTAAAAATCCTTATGAAATAAAGAAGCTAATAGATGAAAGTACAATTAGCAGCAACAACAAAAGGTCTTATAAAGAAGCAGAAATCCAACTTAGTTGAGACTTCTTAATAGCAACAATAAAAATCAGAAAAACAATGGAATGGTTTCTTCATAATTTTGAAGGTAATGATTGTCAATGTAAAACTATACTCCCAGAAAAGCTATATATCATTTTTGAGGACAGAATATAAAGTTTTACAAATATTGGAGGTCTCAACAGAATTTAAATTTCTGTGGGCTCATTTTTGAGCTTTATAACAGACTTTGGAGAGCAGTTTTAGGTTCATAGCATAATGGGGCCAAAGGTACAGATATTTCCAATATACCCCCTACTGCCACATAGTCACAGCCTGCCCCACTATACTAGTAAAAACCCTACACCAGAGTGGTACATTTATTAAAATCAATGAACCTACACCACTAAATCATTATTATCCAAAGCCCAGAGTTTACATTAGAGTTTACTCTGATTGTTTCACATAATATAGTTTGATACAAATGTATAATAATCTATCTATATCATAAAAGGCCTGTGGTTGTGACACTGTAATGGTGGAATGACCAAACAACTGGTCACCAGGAGGTGCATGGAGCACCTCTTGTGGGCCGGGACTTGCAGCTCGCGCGGGGCTGGTGGGGTTGGCGCAGCGGAAGTGGGGCCCATGGCTCGTGTGGTGGAGGTGGGGCCTGCGGCTCACACAGGACAGGTCGAGGGTCCCGTCAGCGCAGCGGGTCTGGGTCTTACACAATTTTGCACACTGGGCCTCTAGTCTTACCTAATAATAGACAAACATGGTAATTGACCATACCTCCGCTACGCCTCCCATTGGCTAATCAACGAGATATTGGCAAATTAACTGCCAACCAACATGGCGGCTGGTAGCCACGGAGCTGAAGTGAGCAGGAGGCTTGCTTGCTCCAGTGATGGAGGAAGCCAAGGTTCCCCGCCTGCCGCAGCCTGGCTCTAAGCTCCAAAAGCAACAAAGTTTCAATTATAGAAGCTAAACAAACCCCAGATACCTGCTTTCAGCCGGCCCTGGCCATGGAGTTGGAGCGCAGGAGGCTTTCCCTCCCACCCGCCCTGGCCAGCTCTGAGCTCCACTCAGGCAACAAAGTTTCAATTATAGAAGGTAAATAAACCCCAGATACCGGCTTTCAGCCAGCTGTGGCCACTGAGCTGGAGCCTTGGGTTGCCCCTGGTGATGGAGGAAGCCAAGCCCTGGCTGGCTCTGACCTCCACTCCAGGCTACAAAGTTTCAATTATAGAAGGTAAATAAATCCCAGAAAAACAAAAAAGAAAAAAAAGAGAGGCTGGGAGCTTCTGTTGCTGGGCAGGCTTGGCCAGCCTGAAAACAGCCCTCAGCCCTTCACCCAGACTGGCCAGGCACCCCAGTGGGGAACCCCCACCCTAAAAGTGGTGTGGCCAGCCTGAAAACAGCCATCAGCCCCTCACCCAGGCTGGTCAGGCACTCCAGTGGCACCCCAGTGGGGACCCCCACCCTGAAGGGCAAACCAGCCGGCCCCCACCCATGCACCAGGCCTCTATCCTATATAAAAAAAGGATAATATGCAAATTGACCCTAACAGCAGAAAGACTGGGAATGTCTGGTGATTATGACACACACTGACCACCAGGGGGCAGATGCTCAATGCAGGAGCTGCCCCCTGCTGGTCAGTGCGCTCCCACATGGGGAGCTCTGCTCAGCCACAAGCCAGGCTGATGGCTGCCAGGACAGCGGTGGTGGTGGGAGCCTCTCCTGCCTCCTCAGCAGCGCTAAGGATGTCAGACTACAGCTTAGGCCTGCTCTCCACTGGCAAATGGATATCCCCGAGGGCTCCTGGGCTGCCAGAGGGATGTCTGATTGCCAGCTTAGGCCCAATCCCCTGGGGAGCAAGCCTAAACCAGCAGGTAGTCATCCCCTGAGGGGTCCCAGACTGTGAGAGGTCACAGGCTGGGCTGAGGGACATCCCCCCCACACACACACCCCACCCCCCCGTGCACACACTGGCCCTCTAGTATATATATAAAAGCCTACGCGACCATTCAACCATCCAACCAGTAGCTATGACATGTACTGACCACCAGGGGGGCAGACACTCAACGCACAGGCATGGAAACATGGAATAGACTGATGAATCTCAGAGGGAAAGGGGGACAAAGAAGGGCAGGAAGAGATTAACCAAAGATCTTACATGCATACTAGAGGCCCGGTGCACGGATTTGTGCACCTGTGGGGTCCCTCGGCCTGGTCTGTGGGGATAGGGCCGAATTCACGCACCAGGCCTTTGACATCCCCTGAGGGGTTCTGGATTGTGAGAGGGTGCAGGCCAGGCCAAGGGAGCCCATCAGTGCACAAATCCGTCCACCAGGCCTCTAGTATAATTCCTTTACTACACAAATCTTTGTTTCCCTAGAATTAGAACTTATCTTTTAAGTGTTTAGTTTTCTATATACACATAACTCATTCAACAGCAAACACTTAGCTATTTGTCTATATCTACTCTCAAGATATTCACACACATAAGACATTTTGACAATTTTATATTCCTGAAGAAGTCACCTTTGGAGCCTTCTAACCTTTTTTCAACATGGACTAGTTATCCTCTGC